CCAAATAATATTGCATTTTATAAAGTAAATATATTAATAAGGGAAAGTTCAAATTACAAAATTTAGATCTTAAATCCACGACAAATACTTTTATTTTATTATTGCTGAAGTTGAGTTGCTATTTTTCTTGAGGCAATATAAAATCTTTTTATTTTTTAACTTGTTTATTTTAGTTACAATGAGTAATTGTATAACTTATGAAATTAACTTTTTTTAAAAACCCTTGGTTTTTAAATATAATATTAATTATTGTACTATGAATAGTCCTATAAACATTAATATTTTGAGTTATTCAAATTAACCACCATGCAGAACAATAAAAATAAATATCGATTTTTCTGTAGAAATATGTTATTTAAATTGTATACTTTTAAATTATAATTTTAATGATTTTATCATAATACTATAGAAATAGTATAATAAATGATATATTGAACATTTAATTCTCATTTACATAACATTAACTATTATTATTAATTTGAATATAAAAATAATTTATTTTATTTTAGGAACCTTCTCCAAAATCTGATTTAAGTTCGCGTTTACTAGTACAACAATCAATATCTAATAGTAAAGCACATCCTAATAAATCAGAAGTTTATTTGGCTGAAACTAAATCTCACAGCAGCCCAGCGTCAATGATGAATATGTTAGTTTATAGGATTATAATAAAAAAAACTGCTTCTGTAACAAACATTATAAATAATTTATTTTAGGTTTTTGAAAGTTGGTCAGTCTCCAAAATCTTCTATGATTTCAACTTCAGATAATGATTCTGATGAACAAAATGATCTGAATCCGGGGAGTTGGCGTCAAGCAATTTTCAAAAATGTGGTCACTCCTAACAAACAAACAAAAGGTACTTAGAATTTTTCAATTCATCGCGGTGGCATTTGAGTTTTTATTTAATCTTGATGTTTTAGATACTGATAATGTGAAAAAAAAATTAGATGCCAATGATTTAAGAGCTTTGTGGAAAAAAGCAATTAATCAACAAGTGTTATTAATTCGAATGGAAAAAGAAAATGCAAAATTAAAAGGTTGGTAAAATTAACAAATTAACTGTCGTAGTTTCGTGTTGAAACTAAGATCTATTATATCAATATTATATTTTTTCAAGCTGATCCTAGACTCTATATAAAACTCGCATGTGAAAATGTGAGCAGTATATTATCAGGTAGGCTATGAATCTGTACTCTGCAGTGGATTGCAGACCCTGCTAGGTGCACACTCTATATGTTTAATTTTAATTTTATTAACTATTTTGAATGTATACATCCTGATTAGAGGCCGTAACTCAGCCAACAGCCACATTTTAACGATTAATTATGTCATATGGACAATTTATAAGCTTAAGCTTTCTGTAGCTTTTTCAATTCGAAAAAACATTCCGGAACTCAAAAAATAAATCATCAAAAAAATTTTATAAAAACCTTCTCCTGGCAATTAGGAACAATTAAAAAAAATTTGAGTCAAATCAGCCCAGCAGTTATCAATTGATGAATTGTTATACATTTTTGGCTCCATTTTTATATGTATAGATTAGGGGTTCATAACAGCACAAACAAATCTTAAATATAGAAAGTGTTTGGTATTGTTTCAATAAATTATTTTATTTTAAAAAGTGTAATATGATAATATTATATTTGAAAATTATAGAAAGACAAGAAGAAGCAACAGTTAAAAGAATAAAACTGGAATATGATGATATTGGTTCATCTGCTCGAGAATATTTGGGTGTGTGGGAAACAATAGTAAATAAAGAGAATCGTAAATTTGATGCAAAAATGTTGCGTCAAGCTATAAGACAAGGTAACATCTTTTTTCAACAAAAATATTATCTAATAATAAATATTACTGAAATTGATCAAAATAACAAGTCTACATTTATACAATAATATAACAGGAGTTCCAAGAAGTAAAAGAGGAGATGTTTGGATATTTTTTGCTGAATTATATTGTAACACAACTGCACCTTCTCCTATTGATCTGGAAAAGTTTCCAAATTTTAATGTACCATATGAACAATTATTAAAACAATTAACTAAGTACCAACATGCTATTCTTATAGATTTAGGTAAGTTGTGTTCAAGTATATATTTTTTACTATTCCATACTATAATTAGAATTTCAAGTTTTAAATTAAATGATTTGACTTTGAATAAAAATTGAATATTTAAATTAATTGTTTGTTGATATTATATTTGTATTATTTATAATATTTAGTTACATGTTGAATATATTATTTTTATGAAAATCGCAGGAAGAACATTTCCAAATCACACTTATTTTATGTCACCTTTTGGTCCTGGACAACTAGCTTTGTACAATTTGCTCAAAGCATATTCTTTATTAGATCCAGAAGTTGGGTATTGTCAAGGACTATGTTTTGTAGCGGGCGTCTTACTATTACATGTGAGTGATACTTTAACGGAAGTACTTTAGTTGGTGTGATTTTTGTAGAAAAAATATTTTTTTACAGATGTCTGAAGAACAAGCCTTTATGATGCTAAAACATTTAATGTTTAGACGTTCGTTAAGAAAACAATATCTTCCTGATATGGCAGCTCTGCAAGTTCAACTTTACCAATTATCTAGACTTCTTCATGATCATCACCCTGACCTCTATGCACATTTTGACAATTGTGATATTCCTCCAACATTGTATGCTGCACCTTGGTTCTTGACAATGTTTGCTTCTCAATTTCCATTAGGATTTGTTGCTCGTATATTTGGTATAATAAAACTTATTAATTATAAGTAATTTAAGCTCTAAAAATGTTTAAGTTGATAAATTTGTTTTGTTTTTTTTTTATAGATATACTATTCTTTGAGAATATTGATGTTCTGTTTCGTATCATATTATCATTATTGACATATCACAAAGATAATCTGCTTGCATGCGATGGAATGGAACAAATAATGAACTTTATTAAAAATGATTTCCCTGTTGTAAATAGTGAAATCATTGACAAAATTATTAAACAAGTATGTTTAAATAATAATATAAATTTACTTTAATTATAAGTATATTTATATTTTTATAAGGTATTTACAACTGATTTATCAAAACAATTAATGGAATATGGAGTCGAATATCATGTATTGCAAGAAGAATTATCTTCACCGAATCCTGAAACTAAAAAAATTAAGCATTTAGAGGAAATGAATAAGAGTTTAATGCAACAAAATAAAATTCTACACGAACAACTCGAGGTAAATTTGATAATTATGATAATTTAATAAATGTAAAAATCGCTGAATATATAATAAAATATATAGTATTGAGAATTTGTTTAACCAAAATATTTATGCTTAATTTTAATTAATTTGTTTGATGAAAATGCCATGGTTTTTGTTTTATAGATATCAATAACAAATAATGGACGCTTGGAGATGAACAGATCTTCTAATCTTTCAGCTATTAACCGGTTAGAAAGTGAAGTTAAAAGTCTTGAGCTTACTGTGGCAACGTTGGGAAATTTTGTATCTGAACTAGCTTATGCTCATTCGGACATAGAAATACCTCCAGACGTATTAGGTTTGATTTCTCAAATAAATATGAGCCGAAATCGGCGAAATGATAATAAGCAAACAAACATTAATAATTTGTTCAGTAAGCCTCAGTTAGAGATACCGTATAGAATAAAACCTATATTGGAAAAATCGTTATCAGACTCTAAAAACATATTGAAAAAATCAATAAAAGAAGAAATAAATCAGGAAGAGGTGAATAAGAAAAATTGTTTAAAAAGCACAAAGAGTAACTATGAATTAATTAGTAATGAAAGTAATTTAAATAATAATGGATTGCATCCGCTGGACTGTGAAGATGTGAATGTATGTTACTCTGGAACTACAAAATTGCGAACAATTAAACCGATTCGTAGCAATAGCGATGGTCATTTTATTTTACCAAACATTGTTGCAATAGATGTAGATGATTCACTTTGTAAACGAGACAAAAATGAAAATATCGAACTAAATACTTCTACCATTAATGGTAATTAAACATTTCTCATTTTTCATTTGTATACTTTTGTGTACAACTTTATTGTAACTATAAATGTCCATTTATTTAATATATTTATACTAATTTATTATTTGTGATAATTTCTATTAGTATTTTTCTCAATTAAATATAAAATGTTTTGTTTTAATAGTTTTGTATGTTGTGAATACTGTACGTTGCCTGTATGTTATCAAACCAAATTTTATTTAATTAAGATACATTGTAAAACAATTTTTTAACAAATAGGTAGTAAAAAGAAATTATTTCCATTGAAATTGTTAAATTCTTATTGCTTATATTGAATTTGCAGATACGTTTATTTTATTTTGTATAAACAATTATTGTATTACTACTGTTATAATTTTATTTATGTAAGTTATATTTTATTAATTAAATTTATAAAACTTATAAAAAAATAAACCCCTCCAAATAAATTGACCAAGTTTCATTTATATTGAAATAAATGAAAATTAGGATGATCAAAATTAAAAATTTTGTTCAGACATCCAAACCTAGAAGTGCACAAATTCATAGCAAATTTTTACATAACATGATTAGGTGACTAGTAGCCGAACAGTTTATGCTACAGATACAATATGATATTATAAAATATTATCATTAAAAAGAAACAAAAATGAGTTGGGAGGGAACACGAGTAAACGACTCCCGCAGAAAATGCATTTCAAGAAGTAGAAATGAATAACTCACGTTATAAATAAAAAATGAAATTATTAATGAACTTATTTCATACTTATTAGAATCAAAAAAAAAAAATAAAAAATAGGAAGAGGTCAGGAGCACATGCAAGTAAAACAATTTTATTTTTCATTTTTAAAGCAATATTTACAATCTATACAACAAGTAATACAATAAGTAAATTTGATAATAAGGTAGTATAATACTATAATACATGACTTGAATGACTTGAGGGTGGAAAACCGTCCATCAACAGTACTTCCTAATAATGATGGGTTCTCAATGGAGACTGTTTTTTTTTTTGTGCTAGGCAAGGGTGTCTCTTGGCCATTTTATTTTTAACCTTCTATGAGGGTTGCTGAGGATGGTTAAATAGGACATGTGAGAAATAAGAGGGTTTTGGTTTAGGTGTAGTTTGGAGCGAAACTTTTTGTTTTTAGTAGCTATTTCATTGACAGTTGAGATTTTTAGATCCTTATGTAGTGTGTTGTTAGTCATATACCAGGAGGCTCCAGTTATTTGTTTAAGACATATGGACTGAAACGCTTGTAAGTGTCTTATATTGGATGGTTTGGCTTGGCCCCAGAAACAATTTCAAGCAGCACAAATAAATATCTTTAAAAAAAATTATATGTGTTGTAGAAGAAGTTGGGGACTAATCCACATGGGCAAATCCAAAAACCTAAAATATTAAGTTCAATAATGAATGAATGATCAGAGGTCACCTTGGAATAGTTGGTAAAAGTATAAAAAAATGTATCAATACAAATTAGTAAAAAGAATTACAAATTGTCCTTGAGTTTTTGATGTTTAGTGTGCTTTAAGACCACACATTTGCTTTTTTTTTTAAATAATATCTGTTTTCAGGCAGTGTAGTTATCTACATTATTAGGAAATGAAATCATTGATTCTTTCTTTCCCATCTTATAGGAACAAAAAAAATGCAACATACATAATAACCATGATTATTTTAATCAATATTTATAATTATAATTTCCAATATTAATGAATACAATCTATGACTAAGATTTAATAGGATCGTTATGGTAATGGAGGAGACTGAACAAAGAGAAAGAGAGATAAAGGGTTGATTGGTTGATTTGCAAATGTCTCTTTTCTCCCATCAAATCATTCATGCTCTAAATTTAAAGATGTCCTGCTGCCACACATTTAAAAAGACTGATAGTTTTATGAGTTTCTTCATGCATTTGGTTTGCGATACCCAGCCATATATTTTTAGAATGATCAAATGTAAACTGTTAAGCCTAAATTATAAATGTATACCATTTAATTAAATATGAATTTATTTCACAGTATTACTTCCACTAACAACATACAAAATAGGCAGTATATTTTGTATATTAAAGTATATTTATAAATAGGCTATAAGTACTAGATACTTAATTATCATAATGAATCTAATATCATTATTTAATATTTATTATATATTATCTTTAACAGAACGTAAACATGTGTTTATATAATAATTGACATAAATTATTTAATATACATACTTTCGATCAGCATATTATATTTTAAGTTATATTATTTTCTTCTTCCTTTTTGTCAAAATCATCATTATCCTCTTCAACCTCTTCAACAATTGGTTTCTAAGAAATACAATATAATTTTTGAGTTGTTAAAGCAAACATGAATAAAGTTTAAATCATAAATTCATTAATGGTTTATACGTTATACATTTGTGTTAGCCATGAACAAATTAAAAATAATAAATGTTCAATTTATAATTTTTAAAAAATTAAAAGTGGTAAGCATGTATACTTTTGCCTTTTGGTATAGTTTAAATATCACCACTAATAATTCAAGTGATAAAAATCATTTTATTACTCATTTCTTCGCAAAAATAATTTTATAAGCAATTTGTTATTAGTGTTAAAATATAGTTGAACTCAATATTAAGTAAAAATCAATTTATTTGTTATGTCTAATAATGACTGTTAGAAACGCTCATATTAAATTAATAACCTATGTTTTTGATATTTGTCATTCTGTCTCACAATATTTCAAATATCAGTATTGACTTATACATTTTTTTTATTGGCAATTTCAAACTTTTTCTGATAGATTTTGGCGTTGTTCGAAGATTTCCTTCAGATTACTCTATAATGTATATACATATTATACATTAAGAATCCTAACACAGATTTCATAGAATTATTTTATGACTTAATAATTACATTTTATTTTTATTTCTACTGATTCAATATGAAGGTATGTCAGCTATACATTATCATACGCTATGCAATAAACAAAATTCATTTTTTATAGTTTTTTTTTATTATAATAAATATGTTCGACTAAATATTAGATAAAATTAAGTAAAATTATTAAAACAAAATTGGTAATCAAGCAATGAGGTTTTAAAAATAATTATTAGTCCTTTTTTCAGGGTTTTTAGTGCCATTTTTAGGAATTTTAATACTAGTTTTAATGTTGTATTGAGCTACTACATCCAACACTAGTAATAACTAATAATGGTATTTATTATTTAATAATAAATATAAGAAAACATATTACATTTATTATATATAAAGATGAAATATACCTCTTTATGAATTGTAGAATTTTGATAAAACACCATACTAATGCCAGCATGCCAACATTGTTTTAGTACTGGATCAACAAGCCATCGTTTATCTGCACAATGATGCCAACAAGAAAGATCATTTGTACAATCACTATCAACTGGAGGAGGTTTTGTTTGGATATTATTAATGCAACGGGTGCATTTTATTCTAAAAATAAAAATGTATTATAATTTAAAGTAATATAAAAATATAGTATATGTCAATAAACAAACTAATTTTTTTAAAAACAACATTGAATAAGTCTATTGGACAATTGAAAAAATGTTTTTCTTAGAGGTTTAAAAATCAAGATCAAGGAAAGGTTTTTTTTACCAACCCTACCAACCCTCACCCCGAGATAAAAATAATTGACACTACACTATATTTTAGCTAAGATTTTATACTTATAATTTATAGAAGTAAAAATTAATGATTATTATATGTTAAAAAGTTTTTTTTACTTTTCATGTGTATCACTAATAGTATCTTGCCGTAGATTAAATAATGTACGTAATTCTGAAACTGTAAAATGTCTTGCAACATCTTCCTCGCAGTCAACTACACTAGAACTTAAGGCTTTTTTGTGTGCCTGTCTTTGCATCATTTTTTCCTCAATACTTCCAGTCTAAAAATGTATCAAATTAATTATTTTGTATACATTTTGTTAATAATAGTTCATTACAACTTACAGCTAAAAATCGATACACAAAACAAGGTTTTTTTTGGCCATCCCTCCATACTCTAGCCATTGCTTGATCATCATTAGCAGGATTCCAATCGGGATCAAACATTACTAACCTATTAGCACCAATTAAATTTAATCCACAACCTCCAGCTTTTGAACTCAACATAAACAAAAAAACACCACTAGTAGGGTTGTTAATATCATCTACAGCCTGTTCAAAATAAAAATAATAGTTATTACAGTAACAAATTTTTATTTTATTATTATAATTCCATGATACATTAAAAATAAATGTAGATACCCATTAGTATGATTTACTGGTTATTTCAAATTGAAGTTCTTTACTGATTACTTAAATACTGGAAATTTAATATAAATAGTAGCTGGTATTTAAAGATTATTTAAAAAAAACTTTGTTACATTCTAAGCAGTCATATGGCTTGACATTTTCACAGAATATTCATATTAACATAGCATTTACTATCAGTATCCTTTTATTCTGTTTATAGGTATTTTAATTGTCAACTTTTTTCAGTTTTTATTTTTTGGATAAAAATTTTGAAAATGTAATAAATGAACCCTTTTAAGTTGTTAAGATGTCTATTCAAAGATATTCATAATATAGACACAATGTTTTTTATGTTTTTAAAGTTAACATTTTTATGAAATTCATCAAAAGACTAACATTTAAGAATTATTGCATTTGAAGTTCAAATTTTGACAAAATTAAATATTTGAACAAAGAATTCAAATTTTAGTTTGTTATTTTATTTTACATAATGTAGCATAAATGTAGCACAATGAAATTTTCAAAATATTTAGATTAATTTTTAGCTATTGCCTATGTATATCACTAATCTATATACACTGTTCTATGGTAGGTTTATTTTGAAATCATAACTATTAAGATAATTAAATATTATTAATAAAGTCGATGTAGAAATGTTTTTGGAAAAAAATAACTTAAATTTTATACTTTATACTCAGAACCGTCTTTTCCTTAGAATCATTTTTTAATGAAATGATTTATCATTGACTTCAAATTTAACACATCCATTACAGTGACTAACTCAATTATGAGGTACACTTACCCTTAATATATAACAGAGCCGAAAGCACTGATTTTGAACTATTATTCCAAATTAAAAAATAATATTAACAAGAAAATCTTAAAATATATAAATTTTTTTTATAAATAAATTAATAGTATAGGTCAGGGATGGCGAACTTTTTCGTAACAGCGTGTCAAATAAAAATTTTGATAGGATTTTGTTTTTCCTGCATGTCAACTAGTTTGATAACCCTTCAATTTTTTTTTCAAAAACTTTAATATTATCAAACTTACATATTCGTGGGTGTCACTAAAATAGTGTGAGAGTGTCACTCTGTGACACACGTGTCATAGGTTCGCCATCTCCGGTATAGGTACTATTAAATAATTTGAATAATAATGTTTTTTAATACATAGGTAGAATAATAGTACATACTTTTGCTCTTTTCTTAGCAGTCATGGATCCATCTAATCTAACAAATGTATAGTTCCTTAATTTAGCGAGTCTTTCAAATAATTCTAATGTTTGAGTGTAATTAGAAATTAATACTACACGATCAGTGGTGGTAGTTTTTATAACAGCTAACATTGTGTCAAGGACCATTAATTTAGATGATAATTCAATCATGAGTTTTTTTCTGAAAAATTATAACACAATTAAAACTAGTTAATACATATAAAGGTAGTAAAGCTTCACAATTTGAAATCAAAAAATCAATTACATTATTGATTTATTAATTTATATTTATGATTTTAGGTCAAAATAATAAATGTTATATTACTTGGATTGAGCTGCTATGTATGATGGAGGTAGTAAATGTTTTGAATTTTCAAATCCATCACTTCCATTCGTTATTTTATCTACTATAAGATCTGGATGAGCACATAACTTCTTGAGCAATGTGATAGCCGCTAATGCATTGCTAGTAACTTTTCCATCATTGCCTGTAAATGTAAAAAATCTAATAGTATTGACATTTTGTTTAAACTTTAAAATATTAATATTTTAAGTAAAAATTATTGAAAATAATTAATATACCTTTAATTGATTTTGTGACCATATCAGATTTAAGAAGATGAAGGTATAAATCAGTTTGTAGTGGTGTCAATTTTATGCAAACAACATGTTCAGTTTTAACTGGTAAGTATTTGGAAAGTAATGCTGAGGTACGTCTAATTAGACACCTATTTACTAATGATATTAATTGTTCTAAACGCTCTGCTGCTTTTTTGCGTTCGGAATCAGTAGCACAGGAATCTTGACCTCGTACAATAGGTGTTTCATATTGACGACGAAATTCTTGAGCAGTCCCTAAGATGCCTTCATTAACAAAATGAACAAGACTAAAATATTCAAGTAAATCATTTTGGATTGGTGTGCCTGACAACAGAACTCTTCGTTTTGCTTTTAAAGCCATTAATGAACGGTAAGTTTGATTTTCACAATTTTTTAATCTATGTCCCTAAATATGTATTAAAATAATTATAATTATTTTTCATAAATCGAGATGAAAAAGATTATATTCACCTCGTCACATAACACAAGGCCTATATCTTCAGCATTTTGTAACAAACTTGCATGACTACGAAAAGTTTCATATGATATGACTAAAATTGGATCAACAGTTCTACGTCCTCTAGCTTGAACAAACCCAGTTATTACTTTGTCCACTTGTTCTTTGCCTCCTCCATCGACAGGTAAAGCTCCAATTCGACCACCAAGCCATTTTTTTATTTCATTACACCAGTTCTTAAATAAAATATATTATTTTAATGTTTATTAACAATTAATATACAATCATGATAGCGAAATTGGTTTGCATTACTTTATAGTTAAATTTTACCTTTACTAAAGAACTAGGTGTAACTATAATAGCTTTGTGAATAGTTGGTGAAGCGTCTGGTCCTTGTTTCAAAAGAGTCCACATTAGGGTTATGCATTGCAAAGTTTTTCCCAATCCCATTTCATCTGCCATGATGCATCCATATGCACCTTCTATACGTACTCCAGTAACACATTCATACATAAACTTAACACCCTGAAAAATGATTAAGTTTAAAAAACAAATTACTCAAAAATAATCAGTCAATACTTTTTATGAATGAAATGAATAAAACACTATAAAAGCTTTAAGTTTTCCATCCCCCAAAACTTAGTTCACCAGTTTTAAACTCTTATTTTAAAGATTGATGATGTTGGGTTACATTCTCCGGAAGTTAAGACTAAAATATTAAGGCAATGGGTAGTAAAGTGTACCTGAAATGGGGATGCAATTATTTGGGAAAAATAAAACAGTTATTGCATTTAAATGTGTATAAAAAAAAAATGATCAAAGTTAAAAGACAAAATGTTTTATAACAATTTCATTTTTAACAATAATGCTTAATGTGTCTGACAAATATAAAACAATTTGACATGCATACGTCTTTCTTCTGGGAAATCAACTTTTGTTTTATATCACCCTCATTGAAAAACCAACAGATTGGGTTAATAATACTAATTATTTAACAAGTTAATGGTTACCAATGGCGATTAATATCAGCTAGTTTGAGAGAGGTCTAGTCAATGAAAAACATGAGCATGGTTCAAGATTTCTGTTTGAAGAGAAGAAAATGCTTAAGAATTCATGAGAAACATTCTTTTAATTTAATATTTAAAATATATACTAACTTCTCTTTGATGGGGCCTAAGTATTTTTGATAACGCTGGATCAACAACAACATTAACTAATATTTTGTCTCTAAAAAAAAAAGACAAATTAGTTAAATAATTATTTTAAGTTTAAGAATACCATACTTATCCATTTTTAAAATGTCATGGGCACTAATTTGTGGAGGAATATATAAAATAAGAGCATCTGGAGCAGTAGGGTCATGTAAAGGTCGACGAATGCCATCACGGCGAACACCTAATGCCCTACTGAAACTGCTACCACTCCAATTTGCTATTGGTACTTTAAATGGCTTTGATAATATATTTCTTATATTTTGTTCCTTAAAAAAATATTAATTAAAATAACTTCTTTTATTTATTACTTTTACAGTAATAATTATATACTAACGTATATAGAAAGTGTCATAGATTTGTCATCTTCTTTTGAATTTTGATCAGTTTTTTGTGACTGGTCACTATATTTCACACAAGCTCTTTTAGATTGATTTGAATCACTTAAAGGTCGTTTATTCACTTGACTTGGAGCTAAACTTCGACGCTAAATAAGCCATTAAAATATATAATGAAACAAACTATATAATATTATATTTTTGATTCACATGCAAGATTTTATTTTGCTACATAAGAAGTTTTAAAAAATGTAATACCTACCATGATTGCAGATTAGTATGGTTATTGAATTATGCAGAACTAAAATGTAATTTCAAGACAATAAATAATATATTGAATCACACTTCAATAGTTTAATCATTATGGCGTGTACCATTTATCAGTATCTGTAGGTAAAATTGTTAAAATGCAAATTATACAATTCAAACATTTTGATACAGGCTGAAATACTGAAGATGGTTTAAACTTAAAATTGAATGAAAATAACTTACCATTGTTCAATGAAAAGCGACATTCAAAATTCAATAAGTTTGATACAGACCATGATATTATAACCATAACATAATAGATCTGTAAAATGACTTGAATTTAGAACCGGTCTGACTAATCCTATGTTATTTAAGTTTAAAGGTAGAATTTACTCCAATATGTTTTGACCTGACAAATAGTTTTAACATTGTAAAACGGAATAACCGAACCAAACGATAAATTGATATCTAAACTTTCGATTGTGTACTTACCTATTCAATAATAGTAAAAACGCAAATCTAAGACAGGTTGAGAAATTTTTAAAATTTATAAAACCAGTAAAGTAGTAACTACTACCTATAAATTATTTTAAATAATTTATAATAAACTAGCAACTTATAAGTATTTTAATTTTAGTAACTAGAATTTACCAAGTTCGAATTAAAAATTAATTATAATTTATGTCTAATATTAATATCACGAATTAAGATTTATTATTATTATTATATTGCTACAATGATAAATTTTATATTTTCCCGCGCCGTAAGTCATAGATAATAAATATGAGATAATAACACAGAGTAGCCACCAGAAGAATCACCGAAAATACTAATACCTAATTTCATCAGTATTGGTGAAGGTACTCAAGCTAGCCAACCACATCATATAGTCCAAAGGATTATTTCTACCATAATTTATTAGTAGTGTTGATAGGAACAACATAAAGAACATGATATATAACGATAATTAAAATGTGAATAAACACTAGATCCAATATTGTATCTATTTTATATTTTTGTAAAATTATTGTTAAGGACTTGTATGCGTAGTATAATCATTTTAACAAATGAAAAAACTACTCAATCAAATTAAGTACATAAACATTTTCAGAAAAAATGTCCAATAAATAATTTACAAAAAAAAAAGAGGAAATCATATGAAAAACATGAGTTCTTATCATCAAAAAACACTCCTTAAGTTGTATAAAAAATCTCAAGAATTTTAATTAATTAATTAATAACAATAATAACTTCACAGTTAAAATATGAATACAAAACAAATATTTGTTTATTATTAGGTGTATTCTTTGTAGTATATGTTACAAAAACGAAAATTGGTCTTTTATAATTATTTGTGTTCACTTACAACTAAAAACAATTAATTCTTTTATTAAGTTTAATCAATGGGTTATTAGTTCTTGTTGTCATCGTCATCATCATCATCATCAGACCACCATATCACTGAATCGTCCATATTAATATTCATAGGTTGTACATTGGTTATTGATTTTAAATGTATTTCAGGTGTTTCTAATACCTTCAGCGTTGAAATTGACTTGTTATTTTGCTGATATCCTGTGTCTATCTTCAATTCAGACATTCTTGTTACAATAAAATCGTTAAATTGTTTTATTTCTGGCATAGTGCAATTACTATTATTAGAACTTTTTGATTGTAAAGAAGAGTTGCTCTTACTCATTAAAGAACTATTAGAAGAGTAAACTTTTTGTTTTGCTATTGTAGTAATACAATTATTTTGTAATTTTTGAATTTCTAAATCTGAGTCATTACTATAACAAATGTTTTCAGAGTAGTTGGAGATAGAGGAAAATTCATTGGCAGAATTATCTGATAGATTTGTACTTAAATCATCAATAAAACTTAAGTCGCAGGAACTTGAAACTAGATTACTTTCTAAAAATACCAAATTACTTGGTTCCCTTGGTATAAAAATATTTTTCTAAAGAAACAAAACAAAATTTAGAATTCATAAATTATGTAAAATCAAATTTTAACTCACCACATAGTTTAATTCTATTGGATTGAAATTTGAATATTGATGGTTTTTGTACAGTGGAATTTCTAAATAAAATATGTAATTTGTTTAGTTAGTAAAATTTAGTTAACATTTAACAAGTGTATAATTATTATTAAATTACCTTCAAACAATTTTTTTGTGTGGACATTTTTTAATAACTTTTTTAATGGTATGTACAAATTATTAACTTTATGGTATACAATTAATTCTCCTGAGTAAACATTGTTTTCAACAGATTCCGGAGTAAAATTGAAACTTAATTCACCATACTGATTTTTCTTAATCAAAATTTCAATTGCAGTTTTTAAATCATCATCATCTAAACAAAGATCTATGTTAATATAGTAAGTTGGGAGTATAAGCTGCAACAATTTGGGTGGACATGTTCTCAATTCAAATATGCTGCCTTTGTCAGTAAATCTCTAAACATCAATATAAAACAAATGAAATCAATAAAACAATAATTATCAACTGAACAAAATATACAATACCTGAGAGTCGATTAAATAAACTTCAGGGCACAAATTATTGCAACTATTACAATTTGATATGATACCGCGCGCCCATAACCCGAGGTTTTTGTCAACTTCAACAATTACTACCTGCAAATAAAAAAATGTGTTATAACAGGTACTAAAATAAATGTTACATATCAAAGATATATAATAATATGTTTATCAGCAGTAAGTATTACATAGCTACTAACCTTTCCAGTTTCAATAATAGGATAATCAAATTGTTGAAACCACTCTGTGCAATCGTTAAAACGTAGGAGTTGAGTATAATAATGTTGATAGTACTTAGTCGAACCACTATTAAATCTTTCAACAGCGACAAATGATCTATATTCTTTGTCAATTTGGCTTATTATATTCACACTGTAGGTTGTGTTCATCTCCATTTTATATCAATAAGTTATAGGAACTTTAAACATTAAAAATTACATTCCATACACGACACAACTCGCGACAACCATCTTCACGAGACAACTGACAACAATGAACTAAGTTAAGAGTTAACAATTCTTATAGTTCAACACTTAGATCATATACACTGGATAGAGCTATGGTTTAAAATCTTGAAGCATAGCTGTTCGTGCCCGAAGTCATCACTGCGCATGAGCAAAGTACATGATCTAAGCATTCAGTACCTAATCGTCCTAATCACTATTCACTATAACACATTATCGGTCCTTCGCCGTCCCGCGCGATCTATTTCATTTCTCACGCATGCGCAATGATCGGGCATGAACAGGTCTGCTTCAAACACGGACCACGCGTGATAACCGCTATAGCCTCTATCCAGTGTACTGTGTACATGATCTAAGGTTCAACAGTGTAATCGTGATAAAATAATTTGTATCTTTTTGGAATAATAATATCAAAGTATTGAATGCTTGGCCATCGAAGCTGATAGCACGATTTAAGATAATAGATTGTGGCCGACAGTAACACGGAATAAAGTAATGAGTAATTCGATTGTCCACGATAGGGATTATACGAATACGACTATGGTCTACATTATCTTAATTCGTTACATCCACGTTGGATAAACTTTAGTATGGACGTTTCCTTTATGTCGGGTTCAACGAACGAACTAAGATATCTTAGTTCGTGCGTTATGGTCATAGAATATACAGCTGATACAATGTACAATAAACTGGAAAGGTAACTGTAGCCTATACAACAACAACTCATATCTCACTGTATTGCCCTGTCTCGTTATAGTAATTAGTAGGTATTGTAGATACGTAAAAAGTCGTATATTTCAGATATCTATACTAACTAGTAAGTAGTAACTATGAATTATGATCCATAAATGGTACCATAGTCCATAGCTATATATATAAACATAGAACATAACTTTTGGAAAGGTTATGATATTTTTTTTTTTTTTTGCTAGCTGAAAATCTAAACGCCGGTATTACAAATGTTCTCAAATTTCTTAGGGATACAGATGAATTTCATAATAAAATATAGATAATATGTATTATAAATTACATTTTTTTTATATAATGTGTTTCAAGGGTATGGCCATAGGCGCAAATAGGGTGGGGCTTGGGGGGCTAAGCCCCCCCTGATTCCATCTAAGCCCCCCCCCAATATTTACTCTAATATTAAAATTTAATGTCCCTGTTAATAATCAAATGTTGTTTTCGATTACTAACTATGACTGTAAAAGTGTAGAATATGGTCAATTTAATTTTGTTTTTTACATTTTAATTATAGATTAATTGATTTATGAAACATTGAAAACATAAATATCGCGCGATATTTCGAAAACAGTCATGTGCATCATGACTTTATCGGTTATAGAAGTATTTATTTTTATAAACACTAAATCTAATATTAATTTATAATGTATTTATATTAATAAATTGTGCTAAACAATGTTATTGAATGTTTGAATCTACTTTTTATTTACCGTATACTTTTGAAAATTAATTTGTAAATAATAACTTTTAGGATTTATTCGGTGTTTCCAAAGATTCTTTAAGATCAGAAATGATGGTTATCAAAAATGTCTTGAAAGTTAATGTTGATTTTTAAGTTCTTCAAAATCACTTAAACTCATTGAATAGCAAACAAATCTTTCCAAATTATTATAAATTATTTAATGCAGCAATAACTTTGCCAATCAATTCCGCTACTTGTGAAAGGTCATTTTCCGCAATGAGGAGGTTGAAAACATGGATGCGATCAACGATGCTCCAAGAAAGATTTAGCAGTTTAGGGATAATTAATATTGAAAAAGACATCAATATTGATAGCGTCTCAGTTTTAATTGACTTTGCCAAATCCAACACAAGAATAAAATTAATATTGTAACCAATTATCTAGTTAATAATAAATAAAATATTATGTGCATTAATAAGTAATCATTTTATAATCGTAGCTAATAAAAAAAATAGTAATATTTTTATTTGGTGTGACGTGTGAAAGGGGGGGGAGGATTTTTGTTGAATATATTAAAGGGCTTGAGCCCCCGCCAATGTAATTCCCTATTTGCGCCTATGGGTATGGCTAAACGATTTTATCTAGTTGTGTTTGATTTAATTTATCGATAAAAGTAGTAATAATGTTTTGGAATTTAGGAAAAAAAACCCCAAAACTATACTTAACTGTTGCCTGTTGGATACAACTGTTCATAATCAATAACTATAAAAATATAAAAATATAAAATTTTAATGATAGTTATTTTAAAATCTTGGTCAGTTACTTCGCATAAAATGAAAATAATGAAAAATAAATAAATTTATAACAATTTAGTAATCAGTAATCACCTACCGAATAATAGTATTTATTTTAATTGCTTACTCACAACTGCAGTAGTCTTGTCCATCATGTGACGAAATATATTCTGCACTTCCAAATTGAAATCAACACGAACCAGAAAATTACAAATAAAGAAACAATCAAGGTACATGACTTTGATGAAATGCTTATCAATAAAATGATGCTGTTTATATTTGTGTTTTTGTTGATGCTAGACTTTTATGATGTAGATGACTGTAAAATTCGTCGTCTATTTAGTAATTTAAATAATTAATTAAAAAAAAAAGAATACAAACCGGAATAATACAGAGTAAATTATTAAAATGAAATAATATTTTAAGGTTTTTAGTTTCAATTAAAATCTTGTCTTCAAAACCTGTTTTCAATTGAATTATCTTTATAATCGAAAGTAACGTGGATTATGGAATATAATAATTAATAACATAGAGATTCTGTACAATTTATGATTCACAAAAGTCGATCGATTTGATTATATTAGTGTACTATATTAACAACTAGTTGTTTTTTTCATCATAAATTGTTGCCCTATATTCCTTTCCATAATTGTATACATATGTAACTAATTGAATAAATTAGGTACAAAGTAACTTAGAGAAGATTAAAAATAATGTACCTTACAAAAATTAAGATACATCACATGTTTCTATTCTATCTAAGAATAATGAGCCTAAGAGTGTCCGCACACTGATAAAATTGAATGAAGGATGTATCATTGTAATAATTTATTATTTTGTTTTTAGTCATAACAGTAGGTAAATTATAATTTCACGACAAGGATACTACAACATTGTTAAAGTACCATTAAACTAGACAAACCAACCATTATTTTATTACCAATTACCATAATAAATAGAATACAGTCAAATTAACATAATGATACAACTAAAATTCGTTTGGGACTACCTATCCGACTTTAATTCCAAAAAAAAATTTTTCTTCGTCATCCGATTTGTTTAATTTCTAACTCTTTTTCGCATCTATTCGTATTTTATTTACATGGGTTGCCGATGAAGTATGGCCGTACAGGTTCGTATTTCGTCCGCAGCTGTAGAAGTCGGGATCACTTAAATCGCAGACAATGACACATTGTAATATCACATCTTAATATCTATGACATTGAAACTGAAAAAAAACGAAAAAAAAAATACCGGTACCTAATCAAACTTTTTTCTTTCATGAAATTTCAGGACAAGTCTTCAATCTCACGAGCGGATCACCGCAGCTAGTTCCAAGGTAAATATGCGCATGCGTGCACCTTATCACAATGTTATCACAGAATACAGATATTATCAATTTATCACATATTAAATAGTTATCACTTAGAAGTTAGAATAAAAATATTAAAATTGTATAAAAAAGTATAAAATATTAATAAATTATGTATAGTAAATAATAAATTAAAGATGTTTAATACATCTATGTCTTATAATATGTATGTAGTATATAAGTATATGTAGTACAAGTTATTGTGGTTTTGAAGAGGCATCATAATAAACATGATCAAAGTCAGTATGTATTGTTTGGCTCGATCGCTCTTCACTATTAATCGTTTCCAGAATAGAGGATTTTTGTACCTCTGTTGGTTTTGTCAATTTGTTAGTTGATGCTTTATGTTTTTTTTTCGTAGAATGAAAACGTTGTGTCGCAATATTTTTGTGGCTTGGCAAGTTAGATACTTTTGGGAAAAATGAACCGGAATTGATTGGATTTGTTTGACCCTGTTGTAAAATTTGCACAAGGTCTTCAAGTTTTTTAATGCCTTTTAGTTTGGCTTCATCTGTTGCAGTATTCGCCACTCCTACTGCTGCATTAAGTAGAGCTGTAAAGCGAGTTGATATTGAAACAGATTCATTTGGATGTACCGAATTTATTTGAACTCCTTCAACAACATTACGATTATGCTCATCAAAGGCTGATGTTTCTCGGTCTTCGTCAATAGAAATTTCAAATTTTTTATTGGACACTCGAATGCATGCATGTACATGTTTACAAAAGTTTCCTTTGATTTTGTAATCAATACATGTGCATGTAAATTGATGGACACACACATGACAATTAGGACATGCCAAAGGACATCCTATACAATTTTCTGTGTTATTAATTGTAACAGAGTATGGACTTTTATCTGATGTCGCCGATTGTACGAGCCACGTGTGTGTGTTAATATTTGTTATTTTGCTGTCTTCAATATGTACGCTTTGGTGATGACTGTGTGCAATTTGTTCCATCCGATATGTAGGTTTATTTTTCATCATTCGTATTGTCCTTTCAAACATCATATCCCTAGCGAAGCGCATCAGCAAACTAATACATTTGTCGACTCTTCTATTTTGTTTGCCTTGCATGTAACAATATTTTATTTTCTTGTGCATCGCTTCCAAATACATATTTGTGTTCAAAGATAAATCATGTCTATAACAGAATGCCCATGCTTTGGGTCTATGAGAGTAATAACTTTCAAAATAATTACCAAAATCTTTTGTTTCGTCATCGTCTTTAAGCATTGCGATAAAGCATTCCATAGAATTTTGGAACTGGTCTACATCCATAATTTCCATTAATGTACGGCAAGCTTTGTATACTTCTGACTGTTTAGTAAGGGATTTAATCTTATTGAGATTTTTTCTCCAACTTCTATCTACGTGCCAGTTACAAAGCAAATGATGTTGTGGTTCTATCATTACATTTGACCAAGCGTTTATGTATGTTGAAGTATCATCAGACATTAATACTTTTGTTGAAATTAAACCTACTTTTTCTTTTACAGACAAAAAAAATCTTGACATAGCCACCGAATCAATTCTATTACTTATACAAAATGCTACTGGACAACCTGCTCCAAATTCATCAACAGTAAGCAATGTTGTAAGCTGAAAGTCATGACTGGTTGTTCCATGGGTGCTGTCAATGCAAATTCGATCGGTCGCGTATTTTACCAAAACATCTTTTTGATAAAGTGTCATAATTACAATCATAAAATCTTCTTTCAGTAGTGGACCTTCTTTTTCACATCCCTGGTTTTTAAAATATATTATTGGTGATTTCTCCTTAAGTAACATCTGTTCTTGCACCCATATTTCTGTGCTAAAAGCATCATTTGTATGTACAATATCTCTGTCTAAATCATAATCTCTTACAATATTATGCAAGTCTCGTTTGTCGACAGCATGGAAACGATCAACACTTTCTGCTGTAGATGCTGATTTTCGAATATCATCCAAAATACGTTCAAAAGTCACTCCAGATTTAATTCTACCAGCCAGTTCATCCCTTTCTTCTTTTGACAGATATAAAAATTTCATGTTTAATGCATGGCCTACATGTGTTCTTCTAAATTCTACTGTCACTTGACCTTCATTATTTGTTAATATCATTCCAGCTGGACAAATTTTTCCAGTTTTACAAGTTTCTGACCATTTCATTCTCTTACCTGTACCTTCTTTTCGGGAAGAACCTGACCGATGACAAGCATAATATGTTTTATTTCCAACCACTCTTTGAACAACAAAGAAAGACAGATCTTCTTTTTCAACATTTCTTTTCCATATTTTAAATTCTGTTATATGAAAAATATTAATGTATTAATTATCTATAATATTTTACAAATTATTATATTAAGTACCTTGGAGTGAATCAAAGTCCTTACATTCTTTTTTCATCGCTACATTGTGTACTATGGAAATGTGTTCACATAAATTTGAGCATGTTGTACAANAATTTTAATATTTTTATTCTAACTTCTAAGTGATAACTATTTAATATGTGATAAATTGATAATATCTGTATTCTGTGATAACATTGTGATAAGGTGCACGCATGCGCATATTTACCTTGGAACTAGCTGCGGTGATCCGCTCGTTCAATCTCGGAAGTTGCTGATAAGTTTCTTATCTATAATCGTGGTACCTATAATAGTTAAGTGTTGATTTTTTTCATTCTTATTTACACTAAACTGCAACTTTAGCGTAGTTTATTACTATCACAACAAAATTATTCTTCGTGAAATGTTTAGTTTTTGAACACCAACTGTATTTGCTTACAATGTTTACTTAAAATAATATCTTTAAATATATTTGAAATAATATTATTATTTTTTAATTATGATTTATGACATTAAATTATAATGATCTAATGGTATTAAGTTAAAAAGATTTAAAAAATCGATCGAAAACATTGAGTTTATAGCGGTAATTGGGTGCACGGAATTTATTAAAATAATAATACAAGTAAAAAACCAGGTTAGTGGTTTAATAATTAAATGTTTATGAGGATGATGAAAAAGAACATACTATAAATAAAAATGATTAATATTCATTTACTATTTGTATATTATATTTTTTAGAATTTTAAAATGGAAAAAATTTCTCTATTTGAGTCTTTTAATATCAATACTAAAAACAAACAAATAAACGAAATTGATTATAACAATGTTATGGATTTATTGAATGAATTATCTGAACTTGATCCAAAATGTAAGTACCTTACACACATATTTAGTGTATTAAATTTTTCACAAGTTTCAAAAATAATTTAATGATTTTCAATTTACCAGGTAATAATAGAAGGTATTTTTTTCTATATTAATCAATTTTGACTTTATTTCAATTTTTATGTTCATTACAAGTATTGCATAAGTAATATTCGTGATAACATTAATAACATTAAATTGATTCAATGAATACTTAAACGCTTAATATAAATATGATGACTATTTTTAGGTTTGTCAGCAGATGATTATGAAAAATTAATTAAATATTTGCCTTTATCGCTTAATATTCATGGCAATCAAGTTGTAGCTGCTGGGTGTAATGTAATAGCTTCATTATGCTCAGATGACTTAGCGAGACATTATTTTGGAGAAAAAATAACTGTGTCTACTGTAAATATATTAAAATCACTTACGAGTCGTATTAATAAAGATAAATATATTCAAGAATGTTTGCTTCAGACATGTCGTGCAGTTGGGAATCTTTGTTATTACCATGGTAAATAATAACATTACTCTCAGTTTTAGATTAGTTGGAAGTTTTTATACTCAATAATGCATAAAACAAAATATGTAGTCATATTTAAAATAAAGTACTCTCAATATGTATACATAAATATATTACTAAAATTAAACATCAGATAGAATTATATTATCTTTGTTCGTGGTAATTACCAATTTATAATCAATATTAAAAAAAATTATTGTTCAAGTTTCTTTTGGATGAAAACAAATTTGCCTATTTATAATAACTTATCATTAAATAAAATGTGGATTAGTATAAATTTGTTTCGAAACATTTTTAGAGGAAAATACTAAATGTGCATTAAAGGAAGGATGTCTTTCAATTACTATGGAAGTTTTGAAAACAAACATTAATGAAAACATTCAACCTGTTGTCATTGGATTATTACTAAATTTGACTCATTTAAATGACTACAATTACAAGGTTTATATGAATAATAAATAATAATCTATTAATATGTAAGAAAAATTGTTATTGTACATTTTTCACAGTTTCAGGATAACATGATTGAAGAATTAAATTTTTATGGAATTCAATACATGGAATATAAGAATAATAACTATAGATTTTATATAAACTTGGTATCAGTAATGATCAATATTGTTAGAAAGTCCTCAAGTAACACTACAATAACAGATTATGAAAAATGTTATTTTATTGATCGTTTATTGCAAACATATAATATGCAAATGAATGTTACTTCCATTTGTATTAAATTCATTAAACAAGTCTCTAAAACTTATAGTAAATGCATAAAATACTGAACTTAAATTAACATATAAGTATATTAAAGAAAAATAAACATATTTTTAGATGTTTATAATTGGATATTAAAAGAAAAATATAAAATATTAATAGAAGTATTGGATACATATGAAGAAAACCAAGAAGAAGATCCAAAACGTATTGTTAAAAAAATATGTGACATCATAATATTAATTTCCAATGATGGTATGGATTACACATTGAATTTTTAACTATTATATATTAATATTAGTATGTCTCTGTAATATATTGTCTTGGCTCATGCTTTGTTACATCTAGAGTTGAACAAAATTAAGTTTGTTAGTAGGTTAACTTGTCAAATTCATGTTATTTTAGTATTATTCTAGTCAATAACAGCGGACAAGTTAATTTGCTAATGAACCAAGCTAATCTTGCAAATATCAGTATTATTGTTATAGTTAGAAAATGAGATTCTAATAAAAATTGCAAATTTATTTTGAGACATGTTAATAATTTATATTATCAATATCATATTTTGAATTAATTTACTAAATATTTTTTATTTTTGTAATATTATGGTACATCATAGTGAGTGCTGTAATACAAAATATAAATATCGTAAAGTTAAATTTTAAATTTAAATTTTTTTGTTTAGATGGTTCTATGGAAAAAAATAAACAACTTGATGTTTTATATTTAGTAGAATGGCTACTTAAAAAACTGAATTCTAATAATTTATATGTTAAGTTGTCTGCTGTAAGGTCGTTAGCAAATTTTAGTAGATATAGTAAGTTGATATTGATTTTTAGTTAAAATTAAGATATTATTTAATATACATTATATTACTATAGAATATGAACCAAATCATACAACCATAAGTCCTGCAAAAACTGTTATGAAACATATAACATGGTTTATAAATACTTTAGATAAATCAATCAAGGATAACAATTCACTGATGGAAATATCTATACTTTGTTTGTTCAAGTGAGTTTTAAAATATTTTTTTGAAATTAACTTAACTAATCACAGTTAATTATTTTTTTTTAGAAATCTTTTATATGTTACAAGTTTTGAGTCTATGGATGAGAATCATACAGATAAATTGATCAAAACCACTATTGATGTTTTAAAACACACAACATTTAATTCAATAGTAATGAAAGGCATGGATGTAATAAGATGCATCATAAAAAAAGGTGGGTACGTGGTAACATATCATTAGGTGTTGAGTAGGTCATTGTAATGGACGTGTTAAATTTCAATTCAATGATTTAAAATTATTGTGTAATGTGTATAAACATTTTGTATCAACAATAATCATATAAATAAAATAACAATTTGAGCTTGAAAAGAGTCAAATTATTTTTAAATTTTTTTGTTATATAAGAAATGATTATATATAATCATAATAAACATTCGCTGACAACTTGATGCATCTACAGTTATTTTTTTTTTAGAAATACACCAAAAATCAAAATAAATTTTGCCTAAAAATTCACGTTTTTTCTTAATTTTTTTTTCTGAACCTTAAAAATATATGTGACATTTGAATTATAACCTCTCAAATGCATTAATTAGTTTCTACCAGAAAAGTGACTGAAGTTAAAAATTGAAGCTAGTTTTCATAAACACTCATTATTGTAAAAACTGTATCAAACATTAATTTTCTTTCATATTTTCTTTTTGTTTGTTTTTGTTGTTGATCTTGGCTTGAATGGTCTGGCATATTTTATTTATTGATACATTATATACATTTGTATGAAAGCGACACTCCTTTAGATACTAATACATATACATTTGATAATAAGTTATTAAATTCCTTTATTTACAACATTTTATTTGGATATTTGTCTGTTGAAGGTACTAATAACCCGATATGAATTGAATAATATTTAAACCAATGATGAATCAAGCTCACTAGAATTCTTATGATGGGTTTGATTAACCTTGTTGAAGTGTTTGAATTATCAGTGTTAGGTATGTTCAGTTGTTGAAGTTGGAAGTGGTTGGGGGCATCCCTCCACTTTTTATAATTCACATTTTCCATGCCTCTATTTATTTTTTAACTGTTTGAGTGATATATGAAAACTAAATAAATTATGGAAGGTGTCCCTCCACTTATTTTGAGTCACTTTGACCACTGGATAATGGATATGTTAGCATGAAACATACATAATATATAGGTATTGGCCAAATTGAGTTACAAATTTACAAGTATAACGGTTGTTCTAAATATTTACTCTAATGTACAGGACCGTATTTACAATTTTTTGCACCCTGGGTCAACCAAAATTTTACCCCACCCACCACCAAACAATAGATCTACTTTTTTGATTTTTCTTAACACATTTTTTGTTATAGTTCTTTATGGTTAAGTCATGGTTGTCTATCTACAACCGAGGTTATGCTAAAATAATATTCATTATATTCTATGCTAGTACTTAACCGTTATCGTTGCACTGCTAAGTTCACAAAGGTCGTGTCATAGTACAAATTCTTAAAAAAAAAAAAATATTTATTGATATAATTCTACACCGGGTTACAGCGGTGCCTGGCTGCCCCCTAAATAGATCAATATTTGGCCCCCGGTGTCAATGTCACCATTTCCCTCCCCCCTAATATGGCCCTGCTAATGTAGTTAGGTTATGTGCAAGTATATTTACTTTGAATTTGCTAATTGAATCGTGCACATGAGACACTACCTGATAAAATCAGTTTATTGGAACTTGGTATTTTTTATGTATTTAAAATTGTATTTGCAATAAATACATATCAAAATAGCATTAAAAAAATTAAAGAATTAATATTACTGTTTAGGTAGTCTACTATTGGCTATTTGATTAATTGTAATAATTATTATTTTTAAGTATTGAATTGATGCATAATAATAATGTTTAATTTTAGGTAATAATAAAGGAAAGTATTTATCATATTTTTATCTTTTGTAGGTGGCATAAGTCAAAATCAACTTGTTTTATACAAAAATTCAACCTTTATCAAATTAGTAACTACACATTGTAATAGTATTGATGAAGACATTCAAATTTTAGCAAAAAAATTACTTTATTCAATTAATGAGGATTTAAATGAATCTGAAATTGTTGGATCAAATACAGTGGAAGATAATGTACAAATTAAAGAAAAAATGTGAACACCACTAATTGTTATATTATGCAATTATTATTTATTTGACGAAAAACCAAATGTAATAAGAAAAAAAAATTGGTACTAGTCTTGTATGTCACACAAAGTATTTACCAAACATTATTCTATTTTCTAACTAACTTAATTTAATCTTTATTTTTTTGTTACACTTATTGATAATCGTATATATATTTTGGAATAACTAATCAAATTAAATATTTTCGTTTCCACCTAAATCTTCTACACAAATTTCTACATTCTAAAAACGCCCGTTTTTTAAAAACCGGTTTGGAACTTTTAATTCATGTGTATCATGCTAGTAAGTACATTGTACTCGTGTACAATGTTATAAATGTAACAACCAACATAATGTCCTTACCATTTTTATCACACAAAATTTGGAAGACCAGGTTTGTGCAAGGTGATTTTTTAAGCATGCTCACTCATTTTTTCCTTTAAATGTACATTTATTCAAATTCTGATTTTTAGAATTTTTAAGTGTACCTTAAGTCCATATTTTCAAATTCCTGATATTCTTCATGATCGTTTTACATTGATGTGTGTTTTCACTCTGGTGTTGGGCCCATTGAATACACATGAGATCTCAAATTTCAAGTATAATAAACTATTAATTAAAAGAAAATATAGTTGACAAATTAAAATAAAAGGAGTGTTGTAATTGGTCGGTAACTTTGTCTTCCATAAAAATTATTAAGTTATTGGTTTTACCGTAAAAATATCCCATACTAGTCTCAGTTATTAATTATGATGCAGACATTGGGGTCCATTTTTTTTTCCAATGTAGCTAAATTGTTGTTCAAGATATCAAAATAATATTATAATAGAATAATTTTAAAAATAATACTTACTATAATCAAAATAAGCATGGATAAAAAAAATGAATAATATTTTGGAAGATAACTTTTTGCCCTGTGTTTCATATTATAAGACAAGTATGAATTTTTGTTTATTTTAAATATAAGTTAAAATTAAGTGTTACATTTATTTAGTAGTTGGCACCAAGCAATGTAATACCATCGATAATGGTAATAGCTAATTTATATTTTGTACTATTTATTATTTAAGAATATATTGTACATTGATTTGTACTTGTTACTTATGTTTTTCTATAACGTAAGTGTTTTTTTATTATCATTATTAATTTTAAATTTAACTGAAATGACTTCTATTGATGCATGTTTGAGCCACCACCTTTGAAAAGTAGCATCAACATATAAGTTACTGTCACTTTCTAATCCTCTACAGACTATAAAAATGTAAATACTTAAATATATTTTCTGTAGATAACTTTTTAATTAAAAACCTTACAGTTTAATTCTGCAAATAACGGGTAACAGGTCGGAATAATTGACAAGCATTCGGTTCTGACTTTACACCCATTCATTACATTTACTTCAAGAAATATTTCTCTATACATACAGGAGACCACCCCTATTCACTCATAGGACCAAATCGCTGGGTCTAGAGACTTGGAATTTTGTACAGAGGTTCTTTAAGCCATGTAGGGGCACACTAAGAAAGGATTTTTCAAAATTCCACCTCTAAGGGGGTAAAAAGGATTTTTTTATATAGCTATATAATACACGGGCAACACAGTGACGGGACAGCTAGTATAATATAGTATAGACGTAGGATAATAAAGTCCACCTCAAAAACTATTTATAAATATTGAATTGTTGTTTTTAAACATTTAACCCAACTTTTCTTGTAGGTACGGAAAGCTTAATAATCAAATGAATCATACAAATATAGAATTTTTTCTTACTAATTCAAATTAAACATGGGGTGTATTGGACATTAAAACTTAACAGGGTCAACATTAACATTGAAATTAATAGAAAACAAATCAATTCATACTTAAGTAAAAATATAAGTCATATTTATTTTTTATCTAATTGTAATAGCTAATAATAAAACATTACTAAATGTAAACTATGTTGTATTGCTTACGTGAAACATTAAATTAAACAATGTATTTTAAATTATGATACATTTAAAAAAATTGAAAAAAATTGATAATATTTTTATTGTAAGATGTGTATAATTGCGTTAATGTTATAAATTGTTTATTATTTAAATATTATTAAAATTAAAGAAATCTTCAAAGAACCATCCTTCAGAATTTTCGCTAATACTTCAAATTCTCTTCAACTATAAGCCCTGAAACAAAACAATTAAATTTAAAATAGATTTTCTCAAAGCAAAATATTTTAGACAAATAAAGATTATATTATATTATATAGAGTAATTTGTCATAAGCCAAAACTTTTTAGATCAACTGTAGATTTTCAATTGGTCATTTTCAAACAGCGGTCGTAGGTATTGTATTTATCCTAAAATTAAAATTAAAAAAAACTTATAAAAATTATTGTTAATTTAATAAAATAATGATATTTTAGGATGCATACCATAACACAACTATCATTGGTTAAGATATTAAAATTTGCACAAGTCATCTTATTCTGGATTATACTAATCATACGGATATGAGTAATTAGTGGACAAGTGCTAGTTTTCAATCATTGGAAATCGCAAAACACTCAAATGGTCTTGAAAGAGTATTGAAGAATATTTGACGATGACAGAAATGTTGATTGCAGTGAAGATTTGGTGTTAATAGAAGGAATGTTGAACATGGATATGTTGATAGAAGTAATGTAGAACGTAGATATGTTGATAGAAAGAGTGTTGATTGCAGGTGTGTTGATAGAAGTAATGTTGATTGCAGATATGTTGATAGGAGAAATGCAGAATGAATGTTGATAGGTGTACTGTAGTTGCTCATTAAAAATGTTGATTGAAAGAAAACAATTGTGGGGCTTCAAAAACGATCAGACAGCGCTATGAAAACGATGCAAGTATAACTCTGCCAACAAGTCAGCAGCCTGTTGACTGGACAGTAGGCTAACCTGTCAAATTCTCGTTGCTAGAATTACAACGATCAATATGACAAAAAGAAAGAATTTCTTACCTAAAAATATTATTTATAGACTAAAGAGTAAATTAAAAAGAAAAAAAAACAAATACATTGGTTATAGGTTGTCCAGTAACTATTTGAATACAAAAATATAAGTTTTTTTAACTATCTGTTTGAAAATGATCAGTAAAGATAAAAATAGAATGAAATTATGTTTATATTATATCGTTTATGTATTTAAATTAATTGATTATTATATTAATATAGCAATGTAATAATAAAAGTAAAAAAAAAAAAAACATCTAGGATACAATTGTATTATATATATACAGATTTTTTTGTGTTAAATAATATTAACGATTTATTTAAAAAAAAATTTCTGTGTAATATTTAATTTCTACAGACCTCTAACACCTATTTTTTTTGTTTAACATGCAAGTTTAATAGATATTGTATCTTATAAGTAATTATTGAGATTTATACTAGTCAAATAATATTTAAGGTTTTATCATCAGTATAAACTAACCTCGTTCGTTATTCACTGCTATTACTATTCGGAGTTCCGTCAAGTTTAGCCTGATTTTTCTTTTTCATGGTACGCAATGCCTTTTCCCTTAGACGTTGTTCTGACTCATCTCCAGATTTGGCATCAGAACCCTAGAATGTTAAAATAGAAAATGCAATTATTTAAATCTTTAAAACATAGAAAGTATAATTTATAAAAAAATGTTATTTACACTTTCTTCAGTCTTGCGTTTCTTATGTTTTTTGTGTTTCTTATGCTTCTTATGTTTTTTATGTTTCTTGTCTTTTTTCTTTTTTTTGTCATCACTTTCCTGTAATAGTACATACAATGAAGAAAAATATAAATTTTTAACTAAATTAAAAATTGCACATACATCTGAACTTGAACTGGACGATCTCTTTTTACGTTTCTTTTTTTTCTTAGAATCGTCATCATCAGATGAAGTAGAATCCTTGAGTTTCCGTTTTTTAGCTTTTACTTTATCATCATCTGAGCTAGAATCTCTTTTAACTTTCTTTTTAGTCTTTTTTATAGATTCATCTGATGAACTTGATTCTTCCTTTTTTTTAACTTTGGAGTTTTCAGCATCAGAAGTGTCAGATTTTTTTATAGGTTTTTTAACTTTTTCTGTTTTTTCCTATAAACCAAAAAAACATATAATTCTTGGTAATTTTATATAGATGGGCTAACTATACATTTAATATATACACTTAAAAAAAATGTATATGTTAGTCTAGAATAATATTAGAAAATTACAATGTATGATATGTTTATTATTAAAATTAGATTTTTAAGTTTCTAAGAGGTATTCTTTCAAATCTGATCGGTAACCTTCTGATGGTCGTTGAAGATTGAAAGTCTAAACAGTAAGGTAGCGATATCGTCTTTCTTGAGAGCAAATAATAATAGTAATTATTTATGTTTTTAAACTGTATCTAATCCTTAATGTTTTAAATGTTAAACGGATTTTACATCTCAGAAAATTAATTTAAAAAAAATTGGTCATCTAAATAAATTCTAATGCATCATTTAAATATTACTTTAAAAAAATAAAAATAAATCTAAAAATAATATACTACTTTAACCCTAGTAAATATAAGCTATGTAAGAAAAAAATACTCACTTCATCTTTCTTTTTAATAGCAGGAGATGTTGATGATTTTCGTCTTGAACTTGATGAATTTCTAAAACAAGTATTAAATTTATATAAATATATTTAACATTTAATTTGTAAATAAGTTATTAGGTACTTATTTTAAATAAAAATATAATTACTTTTTATCTGTGTTATTTTTCTTTTCTGATGAAGGAGATTGTCCTTTTGATCTTTGTGGCTGAGAAAATTTAGAATGTTGTTCATCTCTAACACCCCTAAAAAAATAAGTATCAAATTATTTAATTTAACAAAAAAAATTATACAAATTAATTTCTTTAGTAACAACTAAAAAGTACTGTTCAATGATTTACTTAGGACAAATATGTTCATATAAAAAAAATTATATCTTAATTTATTTCAAAATATGTGTGTATAAAGTTTAGTATTTGCATAAAATATAACAACTATGTCAATTATGATGGAATCACAAAAACATTAATTTTTTGTACGAGGTATAAAAATAAATGTTTGCTATAGACATAAAAACTATTTCTGTGAAGATATTAAATAATATATTGTTTATCATTATTAGTAAATTTATTGTCCTTGTGTTATGGACTGTGGGTATAATAAATATACATATGCACACAATTTAGTCCACGCCTTCAAAATACATTTTAATTTACATCACTGGCTCTAAGAAATGGAGTAGGTTTAACTATAATGAGTATTTGACAAACATTGATTCAAGCTTTAGTTTTTAAAGAAATATAGATCGTCATCATTAGTATGGAGTATAAATTAAGATAAATAGTTATTTCTGCATTGCAAAAAAGAGCTTTTTGTACTATAAAATAACAAATATTTTTAATATATGGTATGTATTCAATTAGAATTGTCTTTAATTGAATATGAATATAACACAATTTTATAATTATAAATTAATTGAGTTTAATCACTAAAAAAAGTAAAAATTAACTTATACGTACAATCTATCTTTTACCGGTTTACGGTCTGTCTTGTCTTCAGCTTTCTTAAAAGGTGAAGGGGTTCTAGATAAACTTTCTTGAGATACCTATAACATAAAAAAAAAAAACAATTAAAAAAATTGCAATAACATGTTGAAGAAATAAGATTACGTATAAATTACATTAACATTATCAGTGATAACAGTGATATACATGAATACTAAAAAATGTTAATTACAATGATAAAAATAAATATACGTATAATTTGGTGCTTAAATGAAAAAAAAAAATAATACCGTTTACTGTTATAGGATAGTTAAACATTATGATCAAGTGTCTGTCAGTCTTACAAAAATAACCAAAAATATTTTAGTTGAGTTACAGTTTCATAAATATTTCTTTTTTCTGGTAATGTCATATTTCAATTATTAATTGTTTTCTGTTATGTTATTTGATATTAATAATTATTAATGTTTATCGTTTCTGTTATGTTATCCATTTTCGATTGTTTACCGATATCTGTTTCAATTGTTTATAATTCACTAAAATTTTACTAATAATTTCAATTGTTTATTGAACCGTTTAACGTTTTGAAGCCCTGCATATAATACCTTTGATTTTGAAGAGTTATCTTTTTTTGTCGGAGAAACAATACTGGAGTCTTTAACAGTACGTTCCCTGCTACGTGATTTTCCACTTGGTCTCCTCTAAACAATACATAACTTATATACCTTTAAACTTATAACTTAATGGATAACAATTAACAAATACTGTTAAACAGGTATCACGAACAAATTATTATTAATTTATAACATACTTTAGATTTTGAACGAGATCTGGTATGCCTGCTGCCCGATCTAGATTTTCTTTCAGGACTTCTAGATTTCCTAACCATAAAATATAAATTTTGTAGAATTGTTTTAAGCCATTAGGTTTAGTATTTACTGCAAGTTACCTTCTTCGAGGTGATGATTTTTCTTCTCTTTCTCTCTGCCGGCGCCTATCACGTTCACGGTCCCTTTCACGAATTGCTCTTTCTCTATCTCTACGTTCCCTCTCACGATCACGGCGATTACGTTCTCTTTCTCTTGCCCTTTCCCTTTCTCTATCTCTATAGTAACGATCACGACTTTTTTCACGATAGCGGCCACGATTGAAAGCATGCCTAGATGGACGCCTTGATCGAGAAGATGAACGATCACGGCGATCCTTAAAAATAAATATACATTTGATTGTTAGTTAGCGCTCATTATAAAAACAGGTACACTCTTATTTAATTTATTCATAATAATTACTCTTCTATCTGTAGATTTATCTTTGTCCGATTCACTACCAGAAGAGTCATCTTTATTTGTTCGGTATTGTCTTTTTTTTTGGATACTGTTTTCTTTTTTCTGAATTTCAAAATCTTTTTTACGGTCTAGAAAAAAAAATAGCCAATATTTTATAAAATAGTTGAACCAGTTAAATTAGTTTAAAATTTGTAATAAATACCAGGGCTTAGAGAAGAATTAGATGATGATGAACTACGACTTGATGAAGAAGAATGATGTCGTCTCTTCTCCCTACGTTTAGTAGAATCTCTAGATACTGATCGATCTTTAGGTTTAGGTTTATTATTTGTTTCTACTTTTTCTTTAGCTGGTGAAACGCTGAAATTGAAAAAAAATAATTGATGATATGAAAATAGATTAGTAATTAATTGTTCATAAACAAACAAAAGATTTTTTTTTAATATTTCATACATGTTTTAGATAAAATTTAGACATTTAAATGTTATGTTCATTAATAAATTAATAAGTTATGGTTACAGGTAAATTACATTTAAAACAAATTAATACAGATATTACAAAATTGACCAATTTATTTAATATATCTAAAATAAAATCTGACATTCTATTAATGAAATCTCTATTACAGTGGAGTCGAGTATATACCATTATTGAAAAGTTTGAATTCATTAGTAAATTATTGTACCCATATGATGAAAAATTTTAACAAATGTTTAAGCTCTCTCATTCAACATTATTTTAAAAAGTGCTGAGAATTTTCAAATTTTGATCTCTAAATATTAACAACTAGATCCACAACATTTGGAACCAGAAACCTTTATAGAAGTTGATGATCTAAGCATCACACTTCGACACAAAAGTAAAAAACATACATCATTATAAAATCAATACATTCATTGCTCTAATCAGAATCTAAAATTTAACTTGAATAAATAATAGTGTATCACAAATACATTTTTTTATCCTGACTACTCTTCTGGATAAATTATATCTAAGAAAATAAGCTCCAAATAACATCGACTCAGTAGCCATAGCTCTGACACTTTTATGTTTTTCGTCAGTTACACATAAGAAAACGATAATTAATGTAAATTGTGGACAACTTATATTTGACACGTATATGAAAATAATATTTTTTTGATACAACCTAAGTATATAGACATTAACTAAGGGAATATATTATGTACATTAGATATAATAGTATTAAGATAATACTTACGAAGTCTTTGAGTTGGTAGTTTTTTCTTCAGTTAAGGTAACATCATTTTTAGGTGAACAACTACGACTTTTTTCTTTTGTAGTTGGCGAAGTATGTCCATTACTTACAAGTTTTCCTTTAGACTTTGAACGAGAACTAAGGACATAAAAATACATTTTATATATATTATTAAGTCAGACATAAAACAATATATTAAAAAAAAGGGGTTAAGTAGATATCGAGTATATGGTAATATTTTTGAATGATAACAAAAATAGCTAGAACTAATAACAATCATTCTTTTTATATCTCTAGTAATCAACTTACGGGATTAGTAAACTGGGTCCCGGAAATAAAATTATATATGTTCATAGTTCATCCCATTTTTTAAATATATAATATCTTTATTATTTGTCAAATTTTATAATTATGGCATAAATTAAAATATATTTTTATAATATTATGTTCTTGGTATAAATTATATGAATTAAAAAATAAATTTCATTTTTAATATTATGCTTTAATTTAAAAAAAACGTATTTTTATAATATTATGTTCTCGGTAAAAACTTTGTTATCGGCGGTTAGTGTTTTGTTTGCTATGTTTAATGTGATTGTGATCATCAAAAATGTCAGTCTAAATGTAAGAAAAACACAACAACTTTAAAACTGTATAGCTTTAAGACACAAACATACATAAGTTGTCATACAGCACTCCAGTAAAAATAAAGTGAAATGATCCAGGTATGTGTCTATATGTTATTATCAGGATTCGGGACTTAATGCATTTGCTTATTTTTATAGATTGACTGAAAATGTAGCAGATTGCTTTGAAAGTGTGTCATGTTACAACACGATCAATTATAAAATTTAAAAGTGTGCTTTTTATGTTTTTTTTCATCCATTTATTCAAACCAAAAAAAAATACTAATTTCTAGTTTTTATGATTATTTTTGCTTTTTTGATCAGTTTTTCTAGTTTTTTTTTATGGTATTTTCCTGCAAAGTTGTTTTTGATAGAATTAAATTTATAAATAATTCTTATCTTATCTACATTGCTGCGTATTTAATTAATTAATTTTTTTTCAATTATTTTTAAATATCTTTACATTTTATTTTTCAGAAAATCCATAAAATCGCAAAAGTAAAGTTTAATTTTTTTAGTTTTTATTTTTAAATAAATATTTTTGCTTAAATTTAAGTTTTTTAAATGATTTTAAGTGCTATAAGTTAAATTTATGATAACTGATACACAATAAGACAGACTTATATGTATGTGTGTATACATCCGTAAATATGTATCTTGTTCAAAGTTACAGCGTTAGAATATCTCATTTTTGGCTATGACCAGTGTAATAAAATCATTTATAATGTTCGTTCATATATCTAGAATCAATAGATGTCCGGGCGGTATACTGCTATATGGTAAGGCCGGAGCAGGTATGTAGGTTTATAGCCCGGGACTCATTAACCCACTACTACCTTTATATACCTGGGACTCAACTAACAGTTTCCAAAATGTACATAAATGATTGCAGACCCTTTACGAAATTGAAGTTGAAGATTAAAATATTTTTCTAGTCTAAAAAGTATCTTTAGCTCAAAAAAGCAACACATATAATACTATTATAAACTCAATACATTAACCGCTCTACTCAGAACCTAAAACTATCGTAACTGTATGAAGCAACAATACTCAAAACTTCATTTAGTACCCATAAAACAAAATTATAAAAATTGTTGAATAACAATTTATTGATTTGATTAAAAACAGTACTTACTCTCTTTTTGTATGTTTTTCTCGTACTTTATCTGAATCATGATCTTTATATTTATCCCTTTCCTTTTCCTTATCGCGTTTATCACGATGGCGATCTCTAGATCTGCTACGACGATCTCGTGTATGTGATCTACTACGACTTTTTCTTCTAAAGCAATACAATTGTAGAAAATTAATATTACTATTTTAAAACATTCATGTTTTGGCTGTGATAAAGATAGATAGGTAGATCATTATACATGACATTTGGTATGTTCTGAATGAAGTTGATACATTTTATACTAAAAAACTGTTCAAACTGTCTGGTTACATAAAGTATATGCTATTAACTTGAGTATTAACTTAATAGCATTGGGTATAAAATCACCAATATATACATAAAATAACCATTTGGCTGTATATTAGATGTCAAGTGCACCTCATCATTCAGTAAATCACTTGGAGGTATCGAATTTGAATTCAACAAAAAATAATTAGCTTTGGATTGGAATGTTTCAAATTTCATTTGGCTTTATCAGGGTTGTTTAATATAATAACATATGTATACAACTAAGTAGTTGAATACAATGATGTTTTATTATGGAAAAATTAATTTTTAATTTTAATAAATTCAATACTTATCTAATATGAAAGGATTTGTCATAATTATATTTTACTTATAAGGGTAATTTTTTTATATAATGTAAATTATTATTTAATATATATTAAGTTCAAGAGTAAAAGAAAAAAAAAAATTTTATCATAATAAATACATTATTGAAATTAAAATATTACCTTTCTCTATCTTTTTTTCTTTCTTTTTCTCTGTCTTCTTTGTCTTTTTCAAACTTCTTAATCATATCTCCAACTCGCTCTTGATCTTCCTGTAAAATATAGTTGCAACATTAGTCCACCAAGAGTAAATAATAAATTAGGTTTTAATAAAAAAAAATTTGAATGACCAAAATAAACTAATAAATTGCATAATAATTTTGGTATGATTTTCTATTATCAATTATAGGGTATATTAATTATTAAATACTTTAAGGCAGCGGTCCTCAAACAGTAATTCACAAGCAAGGTTATTCAAAATCAATAAATCAATTTTATTATGTATTCGCAAAGATCATTTGTAGAATACTGGGACATACAGTTCAATTTTTTTTTGAGAATCACTGCTTTAATTTATATAAGATAGCATATGTCACAACTGTTCTTACTAAATGAACTAGATGAAAACATTTTTTATAACCAAAACCAACTAAAGAAAAACACAAACAATTACAACTATAAAAGTAATATTACCATTTTCTTTTTTAATTCTTCTTTTTTTTGCTCAATAAATTTAGGGGGAATTCCCGATGGAGATTCCTGTGCAGACAAAAGTAATTCCCACAAGTCCGTCATAAATACTCGAGCATTTTTGCCATTCAAGAAACCTGTGAGATTTATTTGCATTTTTCTTGGATCAGGCCACTAAAAAATGGCAATATTAAAAATATGTAAGTAAAACATACAAGATATTTTACATACAGTATCTGCTTCAAGCTGATTGTTCACAAATTCTTCTACAACATCGTCTTCCATTCCTAGCAATTCTGTTATTCTTTTACCAATCCAAGGTTTGATAGTATCTAGCTTTACTTTATTCATATCAACCTTTTATGGAACATATATATTTCGATAATTTTAGTATTTGAAAATTAAAATAAATAAAAACAAATTTAAAACCTGGATAATTAAATGATATTAATTATTATACCTTAGCGTTTAAAGATTCACTAAATTTCATTTGTTTCAAAAGCTTTTTTTCTTTGTCACTGAATCTAGTGTCCTGGTCAGCACTAGTACCCTATAAATTAAATAATAGTATGTTATAAAAATTTCAATAGATCTTTTAACTAATGATTAAAATCTCATTACTGGTCATTACAATTTAATTGTCTCAAGCACTTATACAAAATACATTCAAATGACAATGAATAGAAAAGTACACACAACTGGGTAGGTTGTATGAAGTTATTTTTTTGAAAATAGGTAGATATCTACTAATTTAAGGCATGGCATATAATTATATAATTATTTTAAATTTTCATTCTCAGTATGTATGTTGAAAGAACATTTTTGACATTTCTACTATTTTGTAAATACCTAATACAATTTTAAAAAAATGAAAACTAAACTTTTGTATTTAAAAATTTTCCCAAGTCTTCTTATCCTGTTTTTAACAATCAATATTATATTATAATAGAATGGGAGCCACAAACTGCACAGGAAAAAGAAATATAGGTACTCTATCAGGAAAACATACTCATTGGGTAAACTGCACATAAATGACACACCGGGCAAAATAAAATTATACAATAATATCTAACTAAGTATATTAACTAAAAACAACACTGATGGATATATACATTGATATAAGTGAACCAACATTGTATGGGGTATTGCGAGTAGTGTGTCATTTAAATTATAAATAACTATTACTAATACAACTAGTCTTTCAAAAACAATTTGATTAGTATGTATGGACATTTTCAGTAACACATTATCCATCCAAGATTTTGGAACTATATAAAATAAAAATGAACGGTCATTCAAAATTACGGGTACCTAATTTTTCTTGGTATCACAACATGAACGGGAATAGCCTAATTAATTTTCAACAATATTGTTTCTCAAATAATCTAAAAAAAATTATTCCAAAAGATGTTAAAACTTTTTGAGAATTGTTTACCTATATAATAATAAAATAAAACTTTTAAGTCTAATAATAACCACCCTATTTTATATTGCTTATTTAAGTATCTGCATATTTATATTTAATTTAAAAATAAGAAAAATCAAGAATTTCTATGTTATAAAATATATAATTGGTTGTTATCTACTGTATTTATTTTTATAATTTAAGTATGTAAGGTAGGTACCTAAAATATATAAAGAGGTATACCATGTGAAATATCCATTACATAATACTACTTTATTAGGTTAATTAATACATTTTATGACAGGTCTTACCTAATATTATTTATTTAAGCTTACCTACTACCTTTATTTTATAGATACAGGTTGTATCATACACAAAAAATAACAATATTTGTCTCGTATAGTTGTATAATACCTGTATGTATGAACATTAAAAGATGACAATTGTGTATCAGTAAGGTTTACAATAGCATTGTATATTATTAGGCCAACCTTATTGGTAATACAGCAGTTAAACATACAACTATTTTTGTACAGCTTATTTCAACAACACAATATAGACGATGACCAAAGAGGTAAACATGGACGTATTTTATAAAATGCAAAATGACAGTATCTATTCGCGGTGTTCCACATAATTCCGGTAACACCGTACTATTACAAATGCTGGACAATTTCAACGCACAATTTTACGTTTAAAAACGTGAAACGTCGGGATCGTCTTGGACGTACGCAAACAGTCAACATATTTTTAAAAATGTACTCACCGTATACATCTTGAATCCGGTTCTAGAACCAACAGATCAGAATATTGAAACACTCGGGACGGTAAACAACAACAAAATGCCAACTACAATTCACAGTACAATATTAATTAAAAATTACTAACATTATTAAAACAAAATTGAATGCAGACACTTCGGAGTGCCTCGGACGCTCGGCACCTCACACGGCCGAAAACAATGGTAAAAAAGTAACGAGAAGTTCCTGATTGGTCGCGCTTCGATCAGTGTTGTAAGTTATGAATTATAACACGCACGAAGCCACGAATTACGAACCATTTACACAATATCTTACAATTTCGCCGATTCAGTGGTTCCACCATAGAGCAATTTCCACGCCGGCACAGTACGGCACGCCATCTGTTCAAATAATATTATGTGACCGTACGATATAAATATTGTACAGCATTTTTATCGCGGTGTTCATGGAAAGATGAAACGGCACGACGCAAAATAATTATAAAACAATAATAATATGAAGTGCACGACTGGCTTGACGTCTCGGCTATAATAATAATAATAATATGATATTAATGGATGATTAATTGTAATCGAGGACTAAGAAAAACTAATAATGTAAGCCAGTGGTTGTAATAAGGTCCGTGATGGTAACACTCTATTAGTTTATTTAAACGCCACCGTGGCTAGTAAAGCGCTACAAGTCCTTCTGGATTTTCCGCATTCAACTGATAACTGATAAGCGCTCGTAGTCTCGTTCTGCGTTCGGCATTTTAATTTTTCCGTCGCAGACCTATAATATAGGCTTTGCCAGGTGACAGGTATCTCAATTCATAAGTTTGTAGTTTATTTTAGTTTCGTGCCAGCCGTCGCGCGTGTATTGTGTAAATACTGAATAACCGCTGCTAAAAACATTCCCGAAGATGCCGCGAATCATGATAAAAGGCGGCGTTTGGCGGAACACCGAGGTGAGATTAAAAAAACGTTTACGAAAATCGACGTAAACAGAGCACATCTTAGTGTGTGATTCAGAGTTGGTATATAGAATGTTATAATATTACCGATGTGTATACAAAGTTATATTACATCCAACACGGTATAATATTACGACTTTCATTTTGACAAGTTCTAAAATATAATGTTTTGTGTGTTAACATAAAAACATTTTTCTGTTGTTGTTAAACCTTTGACTACTGAATTTAAACATGATTATACCTAGCTGAGTTTAATGCATTGAGTTAACTTTATTGAAAACCATTTTTGCAATTTAATATTGCCACTCTATATGCTGTACGCCTATACCTAATTATGAAAGTGTATAGGTACACGAGATTAGTACTCATAAGATTCAAACATTTTTTTTTAATTTTAATGCAATTTTTTAATTGAGTGCCTGTACAACAGTAACAGGTTATGTCTTTAGCTCGTTTTTTTCTATATACCCACTAATTTGTAAAATACTTAAACAAATTGAATTAATCTTGATTTTAATCTTCAAATTATCATCATTTTTATTGAGTATGACTTGTGTTTACCTATCAGCCTAGCAAAAACTTTTATATATTATTATAATGCTATAACTATACATGGTGTAACAAATAGATCTCATAAATGAAATAACTTGTTCTGATCAATGTTTTTATTTTTCAACACTAAAATAGCCAATTTATAAATATGGTTTTGAAAAATTAATTGGAAAAACATTTATCTAAGTCTAGTGGTTTATTTTTTATGATTATTTAAAATTTAAATTGTTTTTGAAGTAAACTTATTAATTTGGAAATAATACGATTTTAACAAGTAGGTTAAAACAATTTTTAAAGTTCATATTAATTTTTTTATATTTTTTGAATTGAAAATGTTTTTACTATAAGCACTAGTAAACTAAGTTTACTAAGTTTACTAAAACTTAACTTACCAAAATTAACCTACATGACTCAAATAAATGTTTTTACTATCAATATTTCTCTATAAACCAGATTTACAAATTGGCTACTTCAAATTTTTCAAAAAAAAAAAAAATTATATCGGATAAAAGATTTTTTTCGTCATCATTATAAAAAAAAAAAAAATGTTTTTTACGTGTAGCACAAGCGTCTGTAAAATATATAAAAAATGATTAGGTAGAACAATAGTTATTTATAATTTATCAAGTCATTCTGTATATATTTTATGGCAATATCATAATATAATTTAATATAAAACTTTTATGAAAATAATAGTTAATTAAACCAATGAATTGCCAAATCACATCACTTTAACTCAAAAAATAAATCAAAAGTTAAAAAAGATAAATGTTAAGTTAATAGATTTAAATGATAAGGGTAAATTACATATAGAATGATACTTCATGTATTATTTTACTATTTAATCTTATTTATTTATTTTATCAATTTTTTTTTTACAGGATGAAATTCTTAAAGCAGCTGTTATGAAATATGGCAAAAATCAATGGTCACGTATCGCGTCATTATTACATCGTAAATCAGCTAAACAATGTAAGGCACGTTGGTTTGAATGGCTTGATCCAAGTATTAAAAAAACTGAATGGAGTCGAGAGGAAGATGAAAAGCTTTTACATCTTGCTAAACTCATGCCTACACAATGGCGTACTATTGCTCCAATTGTTGGTCGTACAGCTTCACAGTGTTTGGAAAGATATGAATATTTATTGTAAGTAAATATTATTAATTTATATTTAAATTTAATGTAGATTATTTAGTTAAATATTTATTAGCTGTTAGCAAAGTTAAGTATATGCTTATTTGAATATACAAATGTTATTTGTTTGATATAATTTATTTATCATGTTTCCAGAGATCAAGCTCAGAGGAAAGAAGATGGTGAGGAAGTGGGAGATGATCCAAGAAAATTAAAACCAGGTGAAATTGATCCAAATCCCGAAACAAAACCAGCTCGTCCCGATCCTAAAGATATGGATGAAGATGGTGATTAATTATTTATAATCTAATTATGAATATATATGTATTAGTTTATTTTTAAGGATCATTTTAAATTTAAGAGAACAATAAACTACCACTAGGTTTATTACCTTGCTCGCCCAATTTTTAAAAACTTATTTAATAATATTGGTTCAATATCCATTATTTATATTTAAAAATATTGTGTTTCTGTATTAGAATTTAAAAAGGACAGTCACTAAAGATAAAAAGTTATGATGATATTACTCATGCAAAAATGTATGTAAAATATAGGTACTTCTAATATTAAATAAAATATATTTTTTATGAACTTAATGAAGTCATAATCAATTGAGTTGTGAGTATATTTTTAAAAATGTACATTTTAACTATTCGTAAAATATAAATTTATAAAAATGTTCTCTAAACAATACATATTTTATTTACATCCATTCTTATTACTTCTTGTTTTAAAGGCTCGTCATAGAGCTTAAATAGTATATTATTTCTAATATCCACATTAAAAAAGTACCAAAATATAATTTTTATTCAGGTTAAAATCTATAGAAGTTATTTATAGTTAATGGTCAAATAGAAGTTATTATACTGCTTGTTATTTTAAAGTGTTATATTTTAAAATATTTTCTAGAGTTGGAAATGTTGTCTGAAGCAAGAGCTCGTTTAGCTAATACACAGGGAAAAAAGGCAAAACGTAAAGCTCGTGAGAAGCAATTAGAAGAAGCTAGAAGACTCGCTGCATTACAAGTAATTTACAAAATGCTTACATAATTATTATGTACATGAAAATAATTTTTTAATTTTGTAGAAACGGAGGGAATTGCGTGCTGCTGGTATTGGTGTTGGAAGAGGAAACAAACGGAAACGTGGTATAGACTATAATGCTGAAATACCATTTGAGAAAAAACCAGCTTTAGGGTTTTATGATACTGCCAATGAGGATGTTGATCCACTTGCACCAGATTTTAGAAAATTGAGACAGCAAAATTTAGATGGAGAACTGCGTGTTGAAATTGAAGAGGTAAATGATTAATTATATTTTTAAGAATTATTTTTAACTGTGTTTTATTTTAGAGAGAAAGAAAGAAAGACAAAGCCAAGCTTAAGCAGCGTAAGGAAAATGAAGTTCCTTTAGCTATGTTAAATAATCAAGAACCTATTAGGAAAATGAGTAAACTTGTTCTACCAGAACCACAAATATCTGATCAAGTAATTATCTATAATATTTAACATTTTTATATAAATATTAAATATAAATGATCTATTATTACAAATTATATTTATTTTAAAGGAATTGCAACAAGTTGTTAAATTGGGGCGAGCCAGTGAAATGGCACGAGAAATAGCAATGGAAAATGGTCCTCAACAAGCTTCAGATGCATTATTGTCAGATTATACACCATCAATCAATAATATTCCTGGCCGCACTCCAAGAACCCCATCTGTTTCAACTGACAAAGTTTTACAAGTAATTTGAAATTAATTTTATGTATAAGACGTAATATGCTCATGCTGTGTCTCTATCTTATCATAACTTATACGTAGCATATCATCCCAGTGCCTTCAAGGAGGCTTCTATCAATATTTAAATTTTAAATCAAGTTATGTTTAATGTTAAATTGCATTTAAATTTCACAGAAACGAGCAATTATAAAATGCCCTTACCTTGCTTTATAATTAAAATATGAAGAAAAAAACTTACATGTTGCCCTAGAGTTCACTCAATTTAATCCAAAATTATAAATAATATAATTAATTTGATTATTCTGAACATAACATTTGCTTGTTATGGGTAATTAAGATTTAAGTATGCAGTTTAATGTCTACTCAAAATGAAGGATTCAGAGCTGTGATCCCTGTTAAAACACTTCTTGTTAAGATTAGCATCTAAGATTTTTCTTTTGTAAACATTATGTTATATTAATATGTGAAATTGAATTTACTTTTTATAGGACGCTCAAAATATTATGGCTCTAACCCATGTAGATACTCCTCTTAAAGGAGGTCTTAATACAGAATTGCAAAATGTTGATTTCAATGGTGTCACCCCACAACGACAATTGATTACAACACCTAATACAATTTTAGGTACTCCACTTTCACAAGCTGCTAATGATGGTTTTCAAACTCCACAAAGTGATAGAGCACTAGTCAAAGCTGGTATGCTAACACCCACTCCTTTGAGGGATCAGTTAAGCATCAATCGTTCAGATTCTATGGAAGTCGATATTATAAATACACCCCAAGCTATGAAAAACTACCACCATCAAGTAAAAGAACAGTTGAAAGCAGGCTTAAGTACATTGCCACAACCAAAAAATGATTTT